AAAAAAAAAAAATTAGCCAGGCATGGTGGCACGTGTCTGTGGTCCTAGCTACATAGGAGGCTGAGGTGGGAGGATCACTTGAGCCCAGGAGGTCAAGGCTGCAGTGAGCTGTGATCATGTCACTGCATTGCAGCTTGGGTAAAAGAGCGAGACCCCCATCTCAAAAACAAACAAAACAAAAAACTTTTGGTAATAAACGATAAATGACCCTAATAGGAAAAACACATTAAGTCATTACCAGCTCTTAACACCATTCTGTGATTTCATTGGCACATTATTGTGTATGTGTCACTTAGCTTTCTAATGACCCCGCCCAATTTTGTTGGCAGAATAGGTGGAGAGGTATGAAGAACGAGGAACACTGCCAGGGGAGTTTCTTGCTCTGCAAAATAAGGGAGTGCGTACTGAATTACCTTTTCCAGCTCCAACATCCAGGATTTCAGCACTACCTGCAGAGTAGTGGGAGGAGAGCTAGGTAAGAAATTAAAAAGAGACCTAATGGAGTATGTGGCACCTTGCTACTGCTGGGGTCCATCCCCACACCTCATGCTCATGAGACGGAAACAAGCTTCTTGGAGCTCTTCCTTATCTACAGGGCTCTCCTCACAGGGCCTGGAAGTTCTGCCCCAGCCCTGTGGGGATTTTCTAGAGTCATTTGCCTCTCTTTAAAGCCTTAGCAGAGGGAGCCGGTGTGGGGAAGGTGTGGTAACGTAGATGGCAATGCTTGTCAGAACAGAGTAGAGCCCCTCTTCCATGCTTTGCAGCCTCTGGGCCTAGGGCTAGCATTATTCTCCCCTTTTATAGCCATCTGTTGATTTCACCTTATCTTGCACTAAGCAATGGGCTTCTTGTGGGCAGGTGCTGTCTCTCACCCATCTTATTTCTCTCTGGCTCTTTCATGGGGCCTGCTGCGTGGTAAGTGCTCAGTGTTCAGTGAGTGAATGGACAGGAAAGGGCAGGGAAGTGAATCAAATCTCCTCAGGTTGAGACATCAGCAGCATCTGTGATCCTTTCCTCATTTGGACCTTCACACCCAATTAGGCTCTAAAATCTAGTGAGGTTTTTTTTTTTTTTTTTTTTAACAGAGTCTTGCTGTTGCCCAGGTTGGAGTGCAGTGGCGTGATCCTGGCTCACTGCAACTTTCACCTCCCGAGTTCAAGTGATTCTCCTGCCTCCAGAGGAGCTGTGATTACAGGCACCCACCATCATGCCTGGCTCCTTTTTGTATTTTTGTAGAGACGGGGGTTTCATCATGTTCCCGAGGCTGATCTCGAACTCCTGACCTCAGGTGATCTGCCTGCCTCAGCCTCCCAAAGTGCCGGGATTACAGGCGTGAGCCACTGCGCCCAGTCCTAAAATCCAGTGATTTTTATTTCTCAGTGTCTGTTTCTATGGCTGCCTCCCTAAGTTCTTTCTCTGTTGGGTAGTGGGCTTCGGCCTAGCTTTCTCATCACCACTTCACCCTTCCTTACCCATCCTGTACAGATAGATTTTTCTAAAGTACATTTTCAGCATATCTCTGGGCTGCTCAGACCATTTCCTCCACTCGACATCCAAATTAATCAGCTCGCTCTTTTGTGTCTTACCATCCTATCCATCCTTCTAATAAGAACATCCTGAGCTTCTGGGGAGGAGGTCTCATCTCACATTCTCTGCCCAAGCCAGATGGTTTCAACATAGTCCTGCCTCTGAGCCCTTATGCAGGCCATCTCCCTGCCTGTCCCAATTACTAGCTTCTGTCCAGAGCTTGGTAAGCCCACTTCTCCCAGAGAAGCCTCCTGGGGTCATCCCAAGCCACCTCGAATGTTCTCTTTGGTAGCACTTGGTCACAGCAACCTTGGGCACCAAGCTGAGTATAGAATGGAGTCCAATCCATGTTGACATGATTTTTAAATGGTGGCAACAGCCATGTGCCATCTGAAGCAGGAATGGGGAAAGAGAAGCAGTGACTAGCCTATACAAATTAGCCGGGTGTGGTGGCGGGCGCCTCTAATCCCAGCTACTCAGGAGGCTGAGGCAGGAGAATCGCTTGAACCTGGGAGGTGGCGGTTGCAGTGAGTCGAAATTGAGCCACTGTGCTGCAGCCCGGGGGACAGAGCAAGACTCCATCTCAAAAAAAAAAAAAAAACTCTGGGAGGCCAAGGTGGGAGGGATCACGAGGTCAGGAGTTCAAGGCCAGGCTGCCAACATGGTGAAACCCCGTTGCTACTAAAAATACAAAAATTAGCCGGGCGTGGTGGCAGGCGTCTGTAATCCCAGCTACTCGGAAAGCTGAGGCAGAGAATTGCATGAACCTGGGAGGCGGAGATTGCAATGAGACGAGGTCCTGCCACTGCACTTCAGCCTGGCGACAGAGCGAGACTCCGTCAAAAAAAAAAAAAAAAAAAAAAAGAAAGAGTCGTCTACAGAGCCTTTCTTGGAAACTAGTGTGGAAAGAGAAGAGCAGCATGAAAAACCAAGGCCCTGACAGCCTGATATCCCACTCCCTCCTCCACAACTCTGTGCCCAGGGCCTGCCTGTTGTGCGGTGCTGCAGAGAATCCAGCACACTCCGCTCATGTGTGTGCCCAGGCATATTTTCTTTCTTGGCTACCTCTTTAGTCATTTGTTATGTGTTATGAAGAAATGAACTCCCAGCAAAATAATGTCTTTTGCACAGTCTTAAAGTGATACATTACCTAAGATCGTCATAGATGATTGTGAATTGGGTTGACCTGAAATCACCTAAGACCAGGGCAGGTTACCAAAGATGAAGATGGAATGTGGTATGTTGGGAGCTGTTGAGTACTGTGCCCTTCTTACCAGGGCATGTAGTTTAAGTACTGTGAAGCTCAAAACATTTTATTTTTCTTATTGCAAAAGTAATACAGAATTGTTATAAAGCATTTAGAAAATACAGACAAGCAAAAATAAAAATCTGCCATAATTCCACCATATTCTGGAGTCTATCTTTTATTTTTATTTATTTATTTATTTATTCTGAGATGGAGTTTCACTTTTGTCACCCAGCCTGGAGTGCAGTGGCGCGATCTCGGCTCACTGCAACCTCCACTTCCTGGGCTCAAGCCGTTCTCCTGCCTCAGCCTCCCGAGTAGCTGGGATTACAGGCACCCGCCACCACACCCGGCTAATGTTTTGTATTTTTTTAAGTAGAGACGGGGGTCTCGCCATGTTGGCCAGGCTGGTCTCCAACTCCTGACCTCAGGTAATCCACCCGCCTCTGCCTCCCATAGTGCTGGGATTGCAGGCATGAGCCACTGCGCCTGGCCGATTTTTACCTTTTACATCTTTCAAGACTTTTACGTATCTTCTCCCCGCTCTGTAATGGAGCGTATTTAATCACTGTCTTTGCTTAGGAATTTCTTGAGCTTTCAGTCTCTGCGCCCTCCCACCTCCATCACCTCCTCTCCTAGGGCATCCTCCTCCTCCTCTCTGCCTTTTTCCTGCCCTAGGATGATTTAAGGTGGGGATTATCCACATAGGCGGGACAGAGGCTAAGGCAAACCTCAGTGTGAAGACGGACATTGCGGATGGCCTGTGAAAAGTCCTTACTGGGCTCCTAAAGGCAGGGCGGTGGTACAGCCCTGGGCTCAGCTAAGTGAGGGATATGGATTAAGAGAATCAGGAAGCCCTCTGGGTATTAACTGTGCTGCACTCAGCCTACCACTTTATCCCACCTCTCTCTAGACCCTCTGCTTCAATGTGATGGCAGTCGTGGTTGGGGGCAGGGAAAGGGACACAGTGGCAGAAAGATTTTTACCTTTTCTTTTTTTGAGATAATCTTGCTCTGCCACCCAAGCTGGCATGCAGTGGTACCATCTTGGCTCACCGCAGCCTCTGCCTCGCAGGTTCAAGCCGCTCTCCTGCCTCAGCCTCCTGAGTAGCTGGGATAACAGGTGCCCACCACCACACCTGGCTAATTTTTGTATTTTTAGTAGAAATGGGGTTTCACCCTGTTGGTCAGGCTGGTCTTGAATTCCTTATTTCAGGTGATCCACCCGCCTTGGCCTCCCAAAATACTGGGATTACAGGCGTGAGCCACCGCGCCCAGCCAGACTTTTATCTTTTATTGAAGTTTAACATACACACAGTAAAGTGCTAAAAGTGGAGCGGCTAGATTTTTACCTTTTTTTTTTGAGACAGAGTTTTGCTCTTGTTGCCCAGGCTGGAGTGCAGTGGTGCAATCTTAGCTCAGTGCAACCTCTGCCTCCCAGGTTCAAGCGATTATCCTGCCTCAGCCTCCCAAGTAGCTGGGATTATAGGTATACACCACCACTCCTGGCTAATTTTTTGTATTTGGTAGAGACAGGGTTTCACCATGTTCATCAGGCTGGTCTCAAACTCCTGACCTCAGATGATCCACCTGCCTCAGCCTCCCAAAGTGCTGGGATTACATGTGTGAGCCACTGCACCTGGCCAAGTTTTACCTTTTTATTGAAATTTAACATACACACAGTAAACTGCTAAAAGAGCGTTCATCTGAAATGCACAACTCAATCAACTTTTACATTTGTGGGTGCCCAGGTGACCACATCACTGTGGTCTTAGTCAGCTGAGGCTTCTATAACTATACTATAAAGAGTGGTTGAAACAACAAACGTTTCTTTCTCACAGTTCTGAAGACTGGAAGTCTGAGATCAGGATGCCAAAGTGGTTGGATTCTTGGTGAAGGCCTCCTTCTAGGTTTACAGCTAGTGTCTTCTTGTGGCCTCACAGAGGGGAGAGAAAGATCATTTCTCTCATGTCCCTTCTTATAAGGGCACTAATCCCATTTCTGAGGGCTCCATCCTTATGACCTAATTCCTCCTAGAGGGCCCACTTCCTAATACAATCACACTGGGGATTAGATTTCAACATAGGAATTTTGAGGAGACACAAATACTTAGTACATAATACCAGCTCAAGGTAGAAAACATTTCCAGCATGCTAGAAACTTTCCTTATGTTCCTCTGCGGTCAATACAATATCCACTCCATACACCACCATTTCCCTGCCCCAACCCCCATCCATGGAAAGGTGAACACCATTTTGACTTTTTTGACTTTTATCAACATGACTCTTTTTTCCTTCCTTTTTTTTTTTTTTTTGAGACAGGGTCTTGCTGTGTCTCCCAGGCTGGAGTGCACTGTATTTTTAGTAGAGAGGAGGTTTCACCATCTTGGCCAGGCTGGTCTCAAACTCCTGACCTGAAGCAATCCACCTACCTTGGCCTCCCAGAGTGCTGGGATTATAGGTGTGAGTCACTGTGCCCAGCCCATTTTAGTTATTTTAAAATGTACAATTATTATTGACTATAGTCCCCCTCTTGTGCTATCAAATACTAGGTCTTACTCATTCTTTCAACTTTTTTGCTACCCATTAACCATCCACAGCTACCCTCTACCCTACTACCCTCCCAGCCTTTGGTAACCACCCTTCTAGTCTCTAACTCCATGAATTCAGTGGTTTTGATTTTTAGGCCCCACAAATAAGTGAG